AATAAATAAATATGAGACCAACTATTGTAATTCAGTTTAGAAGTATTTGGAGATTATATTTGTATTGTTGAGGTGAGACCGCCTTCGTGTGTCAATGCCTTTCCTACTTCAAGATACTGATGGTCAAGCTACGTGAGGGACGAGTAACAACTATTAGTATGGTATCTAATTAGAAAGCTATACACGTACAAGTGTGCGCGTATAAATGGTTAACTTGGACTATTAAGTGCCCACTGGCATGACCCAAAATATCATTGTTCATTTGAATGGTTTACTAGTATTGTCATGACTATTCATTTTGGTATGTCATATTCAACATGACAAGTAAAATTATACCATCCAGTGATTTTTTTGAGACTTTCGTTCTGCAACTTTCTGCATTTGGATTGTTATTGCTTTATAATTGTAGAACCAAAATGTATACGTCGCTAACTGTACTGAGAAATCAAAGTTAAAAGAACTGGAGATTTAAGATTGGTTATCCCTTCGCCGATTTGCAAACATACAGGATTAGTTTTAATTAATCTTAGCCCATTGGCTTAGTCTGGATATGACTAATGTTTATCCTATCTTGACCACACTTACCTTAGATAGGGCAATTATTTCTGTTTTTCCTTTTACATCATCGTATTTCTTTAAATATTGCATGACATCAAGCACTGCCTTATCAGTGCAGTTAAGAGAAAGTTTTACTGTATTCCTGTCAAAAATGAATAAATGCTACAATAAAACTCATCTCCCAAATGACGACTTTGTTTAAATACAAATTTCAAAGTTATGCTATGTTTGTACTTTGAAGATTGTCAAGATAAAGGGGAAGATATAATATTGCTATTGTATAAAAAATCTAGCATATATTTTAAACAGATTTAATACAATGATTTTTTCACCAAAATATGGGTGTGACGTTTTTATGTATTTTTCCACTGATTTTTCCAAAATTTTAAAGCAAATGGATATCATTTCTCAGTAACTACCTTTTTAAAAATATCTTGGGGAAAAATATGAAAAATGTATACAGGGTTAATTGATAACAAATTCTGTGAAAACCACAACATTTTGTAGCAGTACTTGGTTAATTTTTTTGCCTAGGGTCCTAGTGACATCGTAAAATTTGGTCCTCTTGTATGGCATTAAATAAATAAAACAGTTATTATATTTCAGATGTGTGCAAATGATCTATAGTTGTAGGCTACATTAAGTGCTATTTTTAGGTTGGTATATTGTAAGTACAACAAGGAATCACAATTGATATTTGCAAAATGTTGTCCTCAAGACCTGATGACTTTGTAATTATCAATAAAAAACACATGTACATCTTTTAGATACCCGGAAATGATGGCATTCTTCAACAAACTTATTCAGTCAATACTTACGTTTCCAAGGTTGGTAATGTGACAACATCCACTCCACTGATCGCCTTCAAGTCTGATGCAATCGTTGTTTTCTGTGTTTCATCTTTTATGTAAGTTTCTACCTTAAAGCCTCCAGTTGTTGCATGACATTTAGCAGTTATAGAATGTACAGGTTCAATTTTTCCTTTCCCTACAAGACACAATAAAGAGACTGAATGACAAGTCAGCATGATCCACAAATACTATCATAATTTTTGACAAAATTGGTCATAAATCGTATGACAATGTTCATTAGTTTATTATCATGAAACTAATGTCCCATGGTACAATGAATTAGCATTATTTTGTGTGTTACAGTTTTTGAGAAACATGTCCTAATATTTATTGAAAATTGCTATTTTCATAGAACACAATGTTACAGAAAAATTTCATTTTTTGACATTTTTAAAACCTTGATTTTTTAAATAATTCAGAAAGACAAAAAGTACTCCATCATTAACAATATACAAATGATTTTTTCAGCCTATGTCACCAGGCTAGATTGTGAGATATTGCATAATATCTCTGCCATAGGAACCTGTGGTGAAAGTGTTATGATATTGCCAAGATGGCGACTTTCCACTAAAATACACCATTAATTTCTCGAAAAAAAGGCTGGTGAGCCAACTTTTGTTAGGTCAATATCCTTATATTGTCTTGGAGTACAGTTTATTGCAAAATGAATAAACTCTGGGTATTTTAATTTATGGGTAGGCTTCTACCTTAAATCAGTATGGCTCACTCACTACAATGATAAATAGTCAAAATAGTAAAGAAAGCACAATAGTGAAATTGACTGTAAACTAATCCTGTAGACAAACATTGATACAGCATATGCACGGTATGGTATGGTATTTATGGTTATCTAAGCTTTCAGATGATGTAGGTTGTTATAGTAAGGCCAAAAAAAAAAGAAGATCTGTTTCTGATGCAGAGATTTTTTTATTTATGAAACATTAAGAAAGTTGACCAGGCATAAACATAGCCTTTCAAACTGACGCATTCGTGCCAACCAGAAACAGTTCTATTTTTTGTTAGTGAATGTCTAAAACAGATTTTCTGGTAAGATGTAAAATGTATGGGAGGGGGGTTAGAGAATTAGAAGGGTGATATCTAGGTTTTTTTTTTCACCAATTAAGATGTTACTTTAAGATTTGGAGGTATATTTAAAATTAATCCAAAATTAGCTTGGCAACTAAATTTTTTTTTTTTATATTAGTCTGCCATTTGGGATGCACAACGTGAAAACAACGTGATTCGCATTGTTGAAGTTTATAATACTAACAGAATATAAATTTGATTGTACATCTGTGGTTTTATTCTAGAGCACCTTTACCACAAGTTTAATTTAAATCTGATTTTTTGAGATGTCAGAATTTGGCTAATAATAATTAGATAATCAACATGGATGGTACCAACATTAAACTAAACGGGAAATTGGATTACCCAGGAGCATCTATATACCAAATTTCAATGAAATGTGATGATTTTGAATATTATGCAAATTAGCAATTAGCATGCTTGAATTTGAAACTAAAACTTACCAGGTATTTAGCATTGTCCCTACGCACTTATATACCAAGTCCAGGTGCAATGCAATAATTGTTTTTTGAGATTTAGGTGTAAAATTGATTAATTAGATTTCAACCCAAAACTGTGCATTGTCCCGGTACATATGTACCAAGTTTCATTACAATGGGATAATTAATTTATAAACGATTAAGGGGAAAGCCTTACATTCAGGGTAAATTAGGTAATTATTATGGATGTATTAACTCATGTTGTGGCATAGTTTATAGTATTCATGTACTAAGTTTCATTGAAATGTAATGATTTGAGATATTGATGGGGAAAGCTGAATTCTGAGTATTAAGCAAATTAGGTAATTTATATGCACAGATTTTTACTCAAAACTAATCAGGTATGTGCAAACAAATAGTATATAGTATGTCATTCAATAAGTATTCAACTTTCATTTAAACATGTTTCTGTTTCTTTTTTCAAGTGGTTGGCAGTGAGTTACATTTTTTAGTTGCCAAGTATTTTATATTGTCACTTTTAGGGTGAGTTTTTGTTTTTAACCGAGTATGTTAAGTATGCATGGGGTTGGGGTTTAAAGCGTTTGCTGGTATTTTGAGCTAAGTGGTTGTTTTACAAATCAAAAGCAAAAGTTTGAAATTTACAAAGCTTATAGCAATTTAAAATGTTTAACTTTCTGAAAAGAGATGAAGCATGGGCAGTGAAATGAGAGAGTGTTACGTAATGTACGCATTTTGTTTTTGTAGTAGATATGGGTTATACTGGTAGTTTATATGTGATAGAATAAACGATGTATAAGAGAGGGAAAATTAACCAAATCTTTGAGATAAGCACAAATTTTGGAGCAATTTTGTTTACTACATCCTCAATATGCAATTTCTAACAAAGATTTTTATTTCATATTTAGATGCAAGTATACCCTCTATAGGTGATCCTTCAATACCAGACAGCCATCCACTTTTACTGACTTTCGGTGAGATTTGCATATAATGTAATTATTTTTTTATATTAACAGTAAATTGGTTGACACTGAACCTTTGGTTGATTGAAATAAAGTAGTATCTTCAGCAAAAAGACATTAATCAAAATAATTTGATAAGTTGACGTTACCATTGATGTATTTTATTATTTGTACATGTATGAAGATAATAAGTTATTGATAGTGACAGTTTGTAAATGATTTTAAAGATAGTCTTTAAACCACTGTAGTGAAAGGTCCCTAACACCATAATGCTAAAAATATAATAAATTTATGGAAAAGATTATTGTCATTTATAGTATCAAATGCTTTTTAAGATTGATAAATATGCCAAATGTGATACAATCCCTTTCCAGGTTGTCACCAATGCTAGGGACCAAGTCAGCCGGGGCAAGTTTTGTAGTTCGTTTCTAACTAAATCAGCATTGTGAATTGGATAGGATGTGTTTATGCATAGACCCTCCAGTACTGGAAGGTCTATGGTTTATGTTGGAATACTAGTAGTTTATAAATTGTTTAATGATGAGTGAAATAGTGAATTAGTTAGCTTTGATTTCTTTATGTTTTTGACTTGTGTGCGTTACCAGGATGTTTTTCATCTTGCTAAATAGTTTGTGTTTAGTTTTAATTGACTTAATTAAGGCTTTCGTTAGCCAGGGTTTGCCCATATCTTTGTAGTTATATCAACAGATTACTAACAACAGATGTTTGGATGACACTGAACAAAATTACATATGCAATGCAATGCAATGCTGGGATCAGCGGTATTGTACACTGACTGACTGAAGATAAAACTTAAGTCACCCCCACCACATGAATTTCACCTATTATAAGTAATAATACTATAATTTGGGATGTTATAAAATGAGGGTTCAGAATTGGAATGCAGACCTGAATAAACAAATTTCTGCTTAAAATATTTAAGAAATAGATAAGTTGGGTGAATTTTTTTGCTATTGAACAAATACTGACATATAACAAATTTTTATGAGAAATCTGTGTTGGTATTGAAATCTTTCATTGTATACTGTTTACCTTGTGTGATGAAAGATCTGATGTTACCATAGTAACTGTTTACAAATGTATGTATATGATTACCCAAGTATCAGTTGATAGTTAGACAATGCATTGAATATGATGTAACAAGGGTATGTGTATGACTATGTGTACAGTTTCCAACAGCTTGCTTAAATCAGTTGCTGTTTTGTTAAATCAATTTTTTTAAATTTGTATAAAACCTGTTGAGAACACTTCCTCTTGTGAAAAGTACAATCATCCTAGATGATTTGTCTGCTTTGGCAAGCAAGTGGTAACTAATGTTGATGTTATTCTCAGTAATGCTAACACCTGCTGCATCAGCTACTTTAATTATATCTGCATCTGTATCCACATCCTTGACTTTGTCTATTCCTTTTATCACAAGATTATTTTGCCTAGAATAAACTTGTAAATTTTCTATTTTGCTATGAGCCATTTCCATTTTTGCCTCAGTAAATGTCAGTCTATCCAGTAATTCATGATTTTCCGACTTCATTGCTTTTTCAAAAGCATTTGCTAAATTTATCAAAATTAATACTGATACAAGACAGCAACACCTCAATTCATAGAATGCTGTATTTAATAGTGTTTACTTCATTTTCTGGTTGTGTTTAATATTGTAACGTATTTTGTTTCTGTACTTTTGTTATGTAACCATTTTACCTCCTGAGTCATTTTATGTATTCTCAATAAAGTTGTTTACACTTACCAATAGCCAGGATTAGCCAATCATTTACACCATCTTTCATTGCATCATAACAAGTATGGGGAGAATAAACTGCAATTCGATTCTCAATACACTTCACAATAATTCTCTCTTTTGTGCTCTGGCATGTCAATCTTTTAAGAGGTGAAAATATTGGAGGATGATAAGACAAGATAAAATCACTTCTCTTTTCTATTGCTTCTTTGAGAACATCTTCAGTCAAATCATTAGTTAGGAACATTCTATTCACAATATGGGGGTGAGAGGGTTCCACCAGTAGCCCAACATTGTCCCATGGTTCAGCAAGAGTAGTTGGAGCTAATGTTTCTAGTTTTGAAACAACAGTGTCCAAATCCATTATGATGTTATAAGTTGATACTCCGCGGTAACTGCTTGGAAAGGCTACTTTCTTTGACAAAGTTGCATTTAGTAAAATTGTTCTTGTTCCTAATTTGAAGATACCACAACAGCGACGAATCATCTGTACCGCTTTATACACCAATCAGCTGTTATGGGACCGGCTGATTGGGCTACAAACGTGGCCAATCAGATTAGTTTTTCTTAGGTCAAAGGTGAACGCGTTTGTTTGTTTGTTATTTGCACTACAACTTTCGTCGGTGTCGTTGTTTTGTCTTTCGTCTGGTCCTCTGTTGTCCAAAGTGTCTCCGATAGGATGGCTTTATTCAAGTTATTGTGCACAAAGAAGCTCTTTAGATGCACGTTAACACTTCCATCTGCGTTTTACAGTAGTGAAGCAGTTACGACATCAACAAGACTTAAATTTGTCCCAGTAAGCGATCCGGCAGAGGAACGACAAGTAAAACAGTTAACAGACTTTGTAAATAATTCTCAGTCATTGTTTATTTTGAGTGGAGCTGGCATTTCAACCGAATCGGGAATACCGGACTATAGATCAGAAGGCGTCGGACTCTATGCACGAAGTGATCAGAGACCCATACAGTACTCAGATTTTCTTAGATATCCAAGTCGTCGTGTAAAATATTGGGCTAGGAACTATGTTGGTTGGCCGCTGTTTAGTTCTGTCCAACCCAACCTGACTCATAAAATATGCGCCGATTGGGAAGAAGCAGGCAAGGTACATTGGCTCGTCACACAAAATGTTGATGCATTACATACAAAGGCAGGGAGTAAGAATATAACAGAGTTACATGGCTGTTCGCACAGAGTAGTCTGTCTGTCCTGTCAAAGTATCACCCCTAGGAAGGAGTTACAAAAAATAATTTCTGAACTGAATCCGCGGTTTAAAGTAGAGTCACTAAATATATCACCTGATGGCGATGTTCTCTTGAGTGATGAGGAGATAAAAGGTTTCCAAGTGCCCGAATGTACAAACTGTGGAGGTATTCTGAAACCGGATGTAGTATTTTTTGGTGACAATGTTCCAAGACCTATCGTGCATTTCGTGTTTAAGAAGCTGAGTGAATGTGATTCTGTACTGGTGATTGGGTCATCTCTTTTTGTAAGTTCAATATATTTTATGAATTAACAACAATCAATGTTTTATTTGCCAAATTTAACAATATAGCAAAATGAATCACGTTAGAACTGTTGTGTACTAATTCTTTGTCCATGCTACCAATATTGTTTATGTGATCTACCTACTGTACATGCATGTGTATTTGCTGTATTAATACTCTATAGTAGAATGTAAATAATAGGGGTTTATCTATGGTTATAATTGTAAATATTTAGAATGCAGACTTATAATACAAATACATTTTTATTGTTCTTGTGCATTTTGACCTCTATCTTCATCAATACAGGATGGAACAATTTTTTTGGCATTTTCAGTATTTCAGATTAGAAAGTGAATTTGTTTATTCACACACAAATTTGTTTAATTTTAAAAAGTATAGAATTATATTTGAATGTATTATACTTTCAACAGTTACTGAAAAGCATGAATACCCGGTACACCAAGATATCCTGATTTTGGCATCAAACAGATTTTACACAATATTTTTATTTACATATTTCTCGTTTTGTTTTTTCAGGTTTATTCAGGGTATAGATTTATACTTGCAGCATCCGAACAAAAGAAACCTGTGGCTGTGTTAAATATTGGAGAAACTCGAGCTGATCATCTAGCAGACCTGAAAATAAATGCTAAAGTCAGTGATGTTTTGCAACAAGTGAAACTAAGATGAAAATGTGTTGCTTCTTTTTAAATGTCTTCCTCTCGTATTTATTTTGATAATATATCCACTTTGACAAGTCGATGAAGAATTTCCCCCTGTTTTCCCCCAAAAGAACTCGCCATCTTCTTACTTCAAGCTTTTTTATAGTAATTGTCCACAGGTTTGTTGATTATGAAATTATTCCCAATAATAAATAGAACATTTCACTCACTTCGGCCAAAAAAATGAGAGTTTTTAATCATTTTGTTTTTCCAAAATTAATACACAGATTATGACATTCAAATCCTAAAAAAATACTGGTATTTGTATATGTTTATTTTACTGAAGGGGCAATATATTCACTGCAATGTACATACTGCCTAGTAATGCAGTTAATTCGTTGTAAAAGTTTTTATAATAAAAACACACGAGGCCATTGTAACACTTTTTGAACAGCAGTGCCTATTATGTTCCGCGTTAATTTTCCCATTGTGTTAATTTGAGTGTTAACATTGTTAATGATGAAAGAATGATGGTCCAGTGGTGGTCATAAACAATAAGAATAGTGTTGGTCAAGAACTTTTGCCAGACGATAGCAACCAGTGCTGACAGACATGGGCAGATCCCTGAAATTGAATATACATGTATTTTCACTAAACAACTTTCATTATCATTAGTATTCTTCTTTGTGTATGACTACTTTTTCAATTTGTGGAATCTCATCAAGGTACATATACTAAAGTTTATTCAAATCTTTTTACAACTGTTTCTCAACTTCTCGTTTCAAAACTCCCAGTATTCCATCAAGCCATGAGCTCAAACTCTACAACCCTTTTATAACTCTGACATGGTTAAAATTGCATTAACTGTATTATTTACACTTTTGAGAAAATATTCATTTTTTAATGAAACACAGTTGTTTTGTATAATTCAGTTAGCTCCTCTTTGTTGAAAACAGGTTTCCAATGTAGATACAAGAGATGTTTTGTTTTCCCAGAAAATATTTGTATACATCAATCCATGTGGAAACAGACCAGGATTTCTCAGTCTATGCTACGAGCTACCGATATATCATCTATGATGTAGCTCTTATTATTATTGTCTCACACAAAATGATGGTATTTTTTAACAGACTGTAAATTTGAATCATCGCAATACCTTTCTATTAGATTAGCGAGATTGCACAATCATTAACACGTCTTGAAACTTACATCTGATTCATAGATTTTTTCCATAGCCTACTCAAAAGTATAAATATTTATATCCCACTTCTGGGATATACCGGTATTCTAGCCTGTGATGAAATGTCAAGGCTATTTTATTGTGTATCTTTATATATCTAGATTACCGTAGTCCAGATTCGATGGTTTTATCTGACTTAAAAACCAATCATCCCAAACAATCTGTAGATGTATACCTTTGAGAGTCCTCACAAGAATTCTGCAAAAAATTTGTAATGGGAATGTGGGACCATGCATTTTCCAAATGAAATATACTATAAAAGTCTGACAACATTTACTATGCAATGCATGAATACAGTACACATGTACAGAGTGTTGAATACAGTACACATGTACAGAGTGTTGAATACAGTACACATGTACAGAGTGTTGAATACAGTACACATGTACAGAGTGTTGAATACAGTACACATGTACAGAGTGTTGATCTTCAGAGTTTGTAGTCACTGCTGTCTAACATTAAGGCAGATGCAAGATCTGCATAATGATCAACTTGTGAATATTCATTGTATAATTAAAAAAAGAAAAACTTGAGCTTTGAGTTTGAAACCAATCTTTGATAAATATTTCTCAGTATTTCATCTTAGATGCAATATATGATCTAACAAAAAAATTAGATTTGAAAAAAAAATGAGTCAGACTTGGGAAAAGGAGTTGGTCAAGTAGTGGGTTTTAATTAGTTACACACAGATTAGATATTAAAAGCAAATGACTCCATTTTGTTATGTAAAAATACAACAACTGTATTTTTTTAAACTTATTTTTATTCACTATATACTAAACTAGTAGTATACATCATTAAAAATAACAAAATCTTAAAATACATTTGACAGAAGCTAAAACAGACTGTATTAATAGTTAACACTATGACTATTATTAGGACGGTGATTTATTTAAATTATTAAAGTTTGCCCAATTATTATATGTACAAAGTATTATATTATTTCTGAGTTATTTAAATTGAAGTGATATGTTATGAGATTAAATAAATTTTGGTGCACTCAGTTTTATGTACCATAGTGTATAGATGTGATACATATTTATTTATGCAAAGGAACATTCAGTTGGTGTGAATTGTATAAATGGTGTATGTACTGGTAAAATAATGGTGATAGATATAATATAAAAACAAACTGAATCAAATTGCCACTGTGAATACACATATTTTAATTAGTATTCAATTTGAGTTGTATTTAGTATTGTTGGTATTTTGATTTGATATACCATGTCATTACCAGGCTACGCCATAAAGTATGGAAATTTCAGAACAATCATTGCCAATTCAAAATGATTGTGGTACAAAGTTATGTAGTGTTTGATCAAAGACACTACATAAGACGAATGTCTTTGGTCTGTACATGGAGATGCATGTAGTTTGGGATAATGGACGGAAAATGATGTTGTATATAGGCATACACATGCAGATCTAAATGACCACATTCAGTTTTCAAACAAAATAACATAAAATGTTGTGCATATATGAGGTCTTGTATGTGTTACATGTTTCAATTCAATTGGTCGATGCATATCACTTTTAAGAAATGCAAATTTAGAAGAAACAAATGGTCATTTCTACCAAACAGTAAAATTACATGTGTTATATACTATATTCTTTATATACAAAATTTCACATGAAGTGTAGGCACTAGCAGTAACACTGTTTTTAATACAAACATTTTAAAACATAGTTAAACTGTTGAACACCTTGCCTGATTGTAAGAAAAAGTATGTGATGTAACAACCATGAAGCCGCAGCACTTTTAGGGCCAATAATGTTTAATATATGCAAGTTTAAATGAAATGCATAAATACATGACAGAGATCCGATTCCAGAATGGCACAATAGGTCAAAATTAAAGATATCCAATTGCGTCCAATTATTCATGTTTCCACTCAGAAATATAACTGGAAAGAATATTGTCACATTTTTCAATTTCAAGCTAGTCTGTTTAATCTTTTCACCACCAGACTTCCTCACCCAAATTTTTCTGCACTTTTTTTTTATATTCTTCAATATTTCTGGAAATGAACCCCAATTTTGGGAGCCAACAAACAAAATTTAAACCAATTGTAAATTTTTTTGTCACAATCTTCTGAAGGAAACTGCACTATAAATGAATTGGTGATGAAAATAGGGAACTGGTGTTGAAATGGTTAAGGTATATCAATACAGTTTTCTGAACATTGGTATGTTCAAAATTGACGTATAGGAATTTTCACATTAGAACATGTTGGCGGTAGGCCAATGTATTAGCATATGGCAAACTACAAATACTGTAAAATGACTAATTTTCACTGGATTTAAATTTCACTGATTTACCATTTCAGGCATATTCAGTGGGTTTTAAATTCACGGTTTCGTCATTTAGATAATGTGTTCTATGCTAAATTTTACATATTCACTGTGTTTTAATTTAGCGCATTTTTCCAGTCAGCGAAATAAGCTAAATTAAAACCCAGTGAATAATTACCCCCTTTACAGTAGTCATTACACCTTTTTAAAATGTAATTCACGACACATTGTTGTTTTATTATCAATCAAATATACTGATTAAGCGGGTCATGTTTTAATTTATCTCCAATGTAATGTCACAAATGTCTCAACATTTTGATTCGAGACTCCAATTTATTTCACATATGACCTTGTATATCAATATGCAATTTATTCACAAAATGTAAAAAAAAAATCAAAGACTTTCATGAAACTGTATTGACCAACCTTAAGCCAATGAGGCATATTTTCACCAATATTTCTGAACACATACGAGACAGTCACACCAATATTGAACTGCACTGAGATTATACAGTGATGAATAAAATTGTTTGAGAAAGAATAGACAAAATATCCTGGCCACAAGAAAGTGTCAACGACAACGATGACACAGACATGGTAACACCCTATAGCTCAGACTTCATTATTACGGAAAGGTAAAACCAAAATCAATCAATATAAAATCTTTATTTAGTTTGAGGTGTGAATCAAATCCTTGATATTAAGAAACATGAGGGGGGGTGTACAGATGCACTCAAATTCATAAGTCATTCATAGTCAATATAATCTATTTTGTACTATATTGGCATTTATCACAGGTTGTGTGTGACCTTTAAAAACCCCATTGCCATACGACATAACACAGAAACGGAAATGACAGTTAACTAAATTAATTAAAATTAACATAAGTTTGGTTTCCATTTCTACATTGCACTACACAAAACATTGTTAGGATTAAAACTTATTCCCATAAAAAAAGTGAAAAAATTAAAATAAAAGTATTAATGTGTAATTAATACCCCTGAGCTTTAACAATTAACAGTGAAAAATAAAAATAACAAAAAAGTGAAATGTTATTCTGCATAATTATGTAAATCAAATACTGTAAACCATGATTTGATGATTTTATGGTAAAAGTTGCTGACACTACTGTCATAGGACCAAGACGAATTTTCACTCCTACAAAATTTTATGATTAACACCACTAACACAAAAATCTGTCTTTCCCAAATTAAAACAGTTCACAGTATTTTTTTCATATTTCTGAAAGAATTCTAAAAAACCATCAGAGGTGAGTCACAAGTAACACATA